AAAATAAAAAATTTATATCTTTATGTTTGAAGCCTGAAATGTGGCAAAAGGTTGAAAAGTTCAAGGGGGCCGAATACTTTCGCAAGGCACTGTATATCCCTGCTTTCATTGTATGAAATTTCATTATGATTGGTGTTAGAATTTGGTGGTAGGTCTTAATGTTCTTTATAAACCAATACCACACACCTACACCTCTTCCTTCTTATTTGTTTCTCCAGAACTACTGCTATCTACAGTTGGTGTACCCCTCTTTGTATGCCATATTTCTGTGATTCCATTTACACCACAATCTAATGCTAATTCAGTAATAACTGCTTGATTTTACATGTTTCTCCTAATTCTCCTGGTATTTAAGTATATTTACCTAGTCTTTGGACATTTTGTGTTCCTTTATTGCTGTCGATCTTATGTGTCTCCTTTCAGATCGTTTTTTGCATTGTTCTCTATTCCATTCTATTTTAAATGGTTTTGAATTCCCCTGTAGATCCTTGCCTCAGTACTAATGATGTCCTTCTGCTTCAGATGATAATCTGTCTACCTGTACAGATAGGCTTTGCTAGCGATGGGGAAAGGCAAAGCATTCAGCACTTTACTTTCCATGCTCTCATTTGTTTGTGTTTACAGTTGTTTTTCAGTTATAGTTTTTAAATTTACAGTTGTACAGTGTTTTTTGCACAGCCCCATTGTTACGGACTGTTCTTTCCGGGCCCTGTGCAGACGACACATCCGGAATAGTGAGGAAACACTGGGGGAAAAGTCATGCAGGAGACGGGAATGGAGACAGGGGGCGTGTCTTTGGTGTGCAGGTGTCCAGGGGGAGTGAGTCCGGGGCGAACAATCCAAGAAGAAGTCCAAACAGGGAATCCAAAACACAGGCATAAGTCCATGGCCAGGCGATCCATCCAGAAGATTAAAAACGGGAACCGGGTCGGGACCGGCGGGGGGAACAGGAACAGGAACAAGAATGGAAAGTTAAAGGCCAGACGCATCAGGACCCGGGCACACATGAAATGGGATTCAATGTAGAGCCCGAATGAAGCCAGCATCTGGCTTATAAAGGGGGAACTGAAAAGGGGCTGGAATAAGGAACAGGTGCGGGGAATGAGGCAGAATTAGAAAGGGCTGGAGCGCCCTTAAGAGGAGGAGCAGCGATCATGACGTACATCAGGATCTCTGAGAAATTGACTTACTGTTTTTTTATTTTCAGGGTATTCACAGAGTATTTGTATCTTATATGTTGCTTATAATCATTTTCATGTGTCCCAAAATAAATATCAATTGGGTCTTCTTCAACCTGCCTGCCTATTCTTTGTCACCTAGTCTCCTGGACAACATACTGTTGTTTCCTCTGTGATTATGATCTATTTCTCACTTGCACTGTTCATGAGAATGCTGTCCAGCAACCACCACTTCTCCTTTTCTCTGGTTTTGTCACTCGCTTGGAACTTGCATTGTTAGAATGTGTGGTGACTACTATTTTTCTGACAGTGGGTTCCTAGCTGTGACAACTGACAACCCACTAAATCTATGCAGTTGTGAGCCTGGCCAGTACCTGGATGGGAGACCTCTTGGGAAAGCTGAGGTGGCTGTTGAAAAAGGTGTTAGTGAGAACCAGTAGGGGGTGCTTACCCTGTGGTGTGTGTGGGTCCTAACGCCACAGTATAGTGATGGGGACATATACTGAAAAAGGTATCGTCCTTTGGATGAGATGTAAAACTAAGGTCCTGAGTCTCCAAGGTAATTAAAAATCCCATTACATGCCTTCCTTTACTTTCAGTGCAGCAAACTCACTCCAGAAGTTCAGCGAGGATCTCTGAATGATCCAATGTTGTCCTAAATGACTGATGGTGATAAATAGAAT